CCCGAACTCGAACCCGACTCACCGAACCCGAACGTTCGGGTTCGCTATATGCCTAGGTGTGGGTGTGGGCGTAGATAATTACGAGACACCAACCCTCACCCATGCCCACACCACACCCACACCCACACCCACACCCACACCGAACACCCACACCCACACCCACACCCACACCCACACCGACCCATACCCACACACCCACACCCACACCCACACCCACATCCACGCACCCACACCCACATTCACACCCACATCCACGCACCCACACCCACATTCACACCCACACCCACACCCTAGTTGAGATTACCAGATTGGTTTGTATTTTAGAAACTGATAGGTCATATGAGACTGATTTACCCTCATCCTTGAGCGAAAACTTTCCAGATTCATACAATCGCTCTGTATATAATTTTATGCTTTACTTTGTAAGTACAAAAAGAACTATTAATAGTTAGACTACTTGCATTTTTGCTCTGTAATGTTGTCAAAAAGAAGTTTCGCTTCTGTTTTTATTTTTTCCTTGTTAAGAACAATTCAGCCACGCTCAAGGACTTTTAATACTAGGTTTGTCTCTAACTTCACAATGGGTATGATCCATCAGTTACTTGGTGATAGCAATTGCAGTTTGGCCATGATAGGCAAGTGATCGCTACCATGTTGCGCATTTGGTAGAGTAAAATTGCGCAGATGTTGCTGGCCGGTAAAATATGGAAACAAACAGAGACATCAGGTTCAAAATGGACAAAATTGCTTGACGGTCATCGTTGACTTCATACTCATCTAATGTTATTAATTGCATGACAGAAGAAGGCATCAATATAATATCATATCTATCATATTCGCCAGGCCTGATACTATGTAACTTTTCGCTAACTAATTCTATTAAATGTAGTTTAACTGATTAAATAAATGAAACATGATAAGCCCATGCGATATCTAAAAATTTTTTCGAAAACAACTTTTAACTAATTGTTGGAAAGGATCGAACTTGGTATAAATAATCATGGCAACTGTCCTCAAAATTTGATAAAATAAAATTAAAGATGCCTACTTATCTTTATATATTTATATAATGTTGCCAGAACTTTTGGACAGATCTAAGTATGATCGAATTACATGATTTATCTCCTGATGAATCACTTGATAGGACAGCTTCGTCAAATACTGATCGTTCATCTACAATTATTTCTTCATCTCTCAATCATTGCTCATCGAGTAATATTAAATGTAATTCGTCAAATATAAAAATGTTTTTAAAAGAACAACTAGAAAAATGCGTGCTTGTCGACAACCACAAAGTGAATCATTCAAAACCATCTCATATAGACTTAAGTTTTGTTTTGTAAAAAATGATTATTCATAAAAGGAATGCATCATTAAAAATAAAGTATTTGGTAAATAAAAAATTTCTTCGGGTTACACGGGGACGGGTCGGAGCCCGTCACAAAAATGGCGAGTCGGGCGGGCCGGTCCAAGAAGCTGCCTGTGCGGGGTACGGGCGGAGCGGGTATAGATTTGCCGGGGCACAGGCGGGGCAGGGATTCTCATAAAGAATATCCACGGGGTTCGGACGGGACGGGTTTGTGAATTTTACGGGGCGGGCCCCGCGGGGCACGAAAATTCAATGCCCCGCACATCTCTGGTGGATACAACGATAAAATATTCACCCACACCCACGCACACCGACACATCCACACCCACACACCCACACCCACACCCACACACTCACACACCCACACCCAAGCACACCGACACATCCACACCCAAGCACACCGACACATCCACACCCACATACCCATACCCACACCCACATCCCACCTACACCCACATCCACATCCTCGGACCCAGACTCGGACCCGATCATTTAAAATTTTTCTACCCGGACCCGTTTACAGTTTGCTGGACCCGGACCCGGTCGCTTAAATTTTTTGGATCCAAACACAATGACAAGTGAGTTTAGATAGTATAGTCAAGAAGGGTTTTGTTGTTTTTTATCTATTTTCTAAATATATTTGATTTCTTCTTTGTATAAAACGAACAAAACTTCTAAAAAATTCAAAATAAATTGTATGGATCAAAGTTTCCTTCAGACCTGGATCCGACGCGGACCCGATCAAAGCAAAATTTTCAGACCCGGACCCGTGCGGGTCCGAGTCCGGGTCCTACGCGACAGGGTCTACACACCACCCACACCCCACATCCACACCCGCACCCACACTCTGAAATATCCTTACGTAATCTTCAATAGTTCCTACTCGTCCTGCTAATTCATTCCTTTATCACCAGGAACCTTCGTCGCAATATTATCTAGTGCTCGTATCGTAGAAAGTCATTCGAAAGTACTAAAGAATTTCATTAAAGGTCTATATCGATCACTCATGTATGTTTCAAAACTCTATCTTGAATGTATTTTCAGTTTTGCACAGGATTGATCTACTCAAAGTGACTATGGCGCCCCATAACGAAATTCCAATTTATGACCTCGAGGTAGCCGTTAGTTATTAGTTAGTTCATACACTAACTTATAATTTAGTAGTTAGTGCTAACTACTAACTTAGCAAGTTAAGTTTGTCTCAGTAACTTAACGTACGCTAACTTAAATGGGACATTCCTACACCAGACTTCGAAATCATATCATCAGATATTGCTAATTGGATTCATGGAATATGATCAATATACTAGCTGATTTAGATCTGATAGAGAATCTCGAATAGGAGAAAGAGAAATTCAGCGAAACGGCTTTATTTGTTAACCTGTATCCCTTTTTTTCTCTTCTTAATATAGGAATTTCAAAATTGTCTATTCCCGTTTTAGTTATTTTAGGACATCTCGAATCCTAAGTGATCGATTTATTTAGTTTTAAAAAAAACTTTATGGAAAGGGAAAATAGTCTAACCAGATGAGCATGCAGGACTTACGATGCTTCTCTTTCCAACGAATATTTCACATGAATGGTCATTTCACCATCATGCGATGAGTGCCTCAGAAAATTGAGTATATCAAAAGTGTTTTTCAATCTAGTTAAGGATGTTCACAAAAACATGAGTCAATGAACAGCTTGGCGTAACATAACTAGTTGATAAGCGTCACGGTAATCTTTGTATTTGAATTCATTTACATTTTGACATTTACTTTTAAGAAAAAAATTGTCTAATTAAGTGATTCATTGACAGAGAACCAATTCTTTTCCTTGAATCTATCAGAAAATTAAAATACTTATTTTCATCCGAATGTTTAGTGAGCTTTTGAGTAAAACGGCAGTTGCAACTTTGGGTTCTTATATTGGTAGACAAACATTGATTCTGTTCGAGTTGTGCAAGTTCTTTCTTCATATCTCGTTTATGGTTTCTGTTTATTATGATGATTACGCAATTAAAGACAACACAAACCAACATAGAAAGATAATTCGAAAAGTTAGTTATGTTTCGGCGGTTCCCAACGTGATTCGCCTGTATTTTGGTTGAAATAGTAGAATTGTTCGTTGCTTCGACTCCATTCTTTAGACCAACCTTCTGGCAAAGTGATGCCTGAATCCGGTTCGACAGGTTTCTGTATTGGGTGACGTGGAATAAATATCAATTCAAATGCTTTTTCCTTGATATCATCTGTTCCAAAGGGATCCGTCTATGAAAGTAAAAGAATCGCAAGACCTAAGTGTGGATGAACAGAACGATCATCTTTACTAAAAATGTTCTGCAGAGAATTATATGAGATAAGGCAATGAAATATCAAAAGACAGGATGTTTATAGCCCCTAGTGAACTCATAAAGTAATCTGTACCAGAAAAATCATTCAGATTGCTATACATTAGTTTTTGTCTGATAGTGAAAATCATAGTATGCTATTTCCTATTTGATCAAAACGTCTGACAACTGGCTTTTGGGACTTGAACGCTGTAGATACAGAAAGAGAACTCGATTTTGAAGACTACTGTCGCTCATATAATGGTTTAGATCACTGACCTTCTGATAATTTGTATGGCTTTTATGCCACAAACGTTTATCTAATGCTTGAACTTCTCTTCGAAGCAGACGCTGTGCAGTGTCGGCCAGGTATTTTTGAAATGTTGGAGACTGTGAACTGAACAAACACTGTTTCGTATCGACCATAGTGTGTTCATATTCTGCAGGTCGTGGATCAAGTAAACATTTTAGTGGCACCACTTCCAGAATGTCTTGTTCTTCCTTCATTGCTAACAAAGTCTGAAGATGTCGTATTAACGCTGGATGAACAGGACATTTGAGTCCTTTACAGAGAAGAAATCGATCAGCACTAGCTGGATCGATAGTGAAAGGACGAACAATAGCGATGGATTGAAATGAACAGTACAGTATGTATATGAGACCAGCTGTATATCGGGTGAATGTATCCAAAAGTTTGCAGACAAAGTGACCACCGTCCACAAGCATGGTCAATGCATGACGGCATGCCATGAGAAATTGTTGTTTGATTGATCGTTCAAGGTAACGATTGTTTGACGCACGATCAAATGCTGATAGAGAAGCGTCCGAGAAGTACAAATGAACTTTATGGTAATCTAAATCGATTTGAGATTTGTAAATTATGTTTGCAGTAGGCGGAAATGGACACGGATAAGGTGAGATGACGAGACCATCAATGTGTCCTCGTTGTTGCCAAGAAAGATATTCAGCAAAGCCGGCCAACGAGTTGTTTGCAACAATAAACGAAAGAGGAGACGAATTCTTGAAGTTCAGCGATGTCTGAAAAACCAGTATGAATAGGCAAAACATCAATCTACCGACTCTTCGAAAACTTTTACTGGGTTTTGTTCAGGACATCTCTCAAACTTTCAAAGCGCACATATTCCAATAACAGATTGACTTGCTAGAGAATCAATTTTCCTATTCGTCGCAATCGATTATGGATTCTCTCTCAGATACAGATTCAACGTATTCATGATGGAGAATCCAAAAAAACTACTTAAATAGCATCTAAAATCATTCCGAAAAGCCCTAATCACAAAAGAAATAACTGCGAAGCGGTCCAAAATATGGCTGTTTTATGAACAGTGATTGATTTTCGAAAAATATTACATTTTATTGAAATCGTACAAGATTCGTGGTAACTAATGAGATAAATGAAGATTTAAATCACATTTGATTGGTTCTCCGAAAAATTCATTTACATCGAATTACATGTTTTGACTTGTTTTGAAGTTCACTTCCAGGAATCGTTCTTATCTGTCAAACATTCAGCTCTACAAATCAGGCTCTCAAGGAACGAATTGTGTCTTCAAACTAGTCTTTCTTAGTTTGCATGAAAATATTCACCACTTGGTAGAACAACTCAGAGTCATCTGCACCTAGGATTAGCGTTCTTATATATTATCACAGAGAACTGTTTGATGTGTATCCACTTACCAACTTAAATGTATGGTTAAGAGAAGCTAATTGTACTGCCACGGAGTGGTTTTGAAAGATGGGATAATGCTCTGCATCGTCTTGTTTGCTCAATAGTTGAAGTTGGTCGCTTAGAAAAATGTTTCCCGTCGATCCACTTTTCTTGCCAGCGTACTCTTCTCGTTTCTTGTACAATAGTTCAAGATCGTCGAATTTGACGAAAAGTGATGAAAGAACCGAACGGAGATTTGAACTGCTAGTAATTGGTTGACGATCGAGTAGTAAAACAAGATTAGCCAGAGCAGACGGATGAGCTGAAATAGGTTTATCGGATTCCAAGAATAATGGTTCGTCAGGAACTGAAGGTGGAGCAGAAAAAGAAGATGATTGCATTGATAATCTATCTTGATGACCGAAACCAAGATGAGTTTGTGCCATGGCAGCCTCTATAGGAGTCGTTCGGCCTTGTCCATCTCTACCGAGACCTTGACCTTCAACAAAACCACTTTTCTCCAATATTTTCTTAGCCCATGAGGTAGCAGCAGATTCTGAGCGTTGTTGGATGTCCGATAATTCAACTTCCATCTCGTTTGTATCATTCATCGAAGCTCTTAGTGATTCTTTTCTTCCAACAATGATACTGCTTCCATGTCCTAAATTGCGTTTTTTCTTTGGACCTTCTTCATCATCTTCATTTTTGTTGTCACCATCACCAGTATCACTAGTCGTTAAAAACTCTTCTCGCTTACGTTTCCTATCTTGCCGATCTTCGAGTGTACCACCTGCTCGCGCACGCAATCCACCTTTCGCTTGCGATGCGCTATTACCTAATGCTTTGGCCGATCCGTCAAGTATAGGATCTGCTACAATACGTTGGATTTTTGGATTTTTATCAATCAAACATTCTCGTCGAAAGTCACGCGCAATATCTTGATTTAACTGCCATACAGCTTGCTGGACATTTCTATTCCACTTTTGTTCTAGGTCAAGGTTCCTTTCAAGTGCCTGTATTTGTTTATTGGTAAAATAATCAGCGATTTCAATCACAGCTTTCAGAAACGATGGAGGAATTGACTCACGTGATAAGAGTGATTTACCATGAGGAAATGTTGGTGACACAAGTGAAAGAAGAGAGTTAAGTACTTCAGGAGCAATACCACGAAATCCAATGGCAACAATGTACGTTTCAGCATTCGGAGCACGTGATGAAGCTGGTTTAAAGATGCTCAACTCCTTGAAGTGAAGGGCAAGGATATAAAGTAGACAAATAGTTTCACATTCGAATAAATTGAACATCTTCAGAACGAGTGAACCACCCTTTGCTAGCGCACCCATAGCACATACAGCTTCTGCATAATGAAGTTCGCTAACAATTGATTCTTGCTCGTTCGGATCGCTCGACGCATCAACAGAGCCATCACCTGTCACCAGATGTACTCCAGATAATTTCGGACCAAACTATGCAAAATAAAATCAAACAATTCAGAGTCATATGCACTCATTGATCTGATTTGGCTCCCGCATATAAATAGCCTCCAAATATTGACGTCGTCCGAAAAAGATAGTATTTCTAATATGTCTAAGTCAAAATATATATTTGGAATGATTCAAAAGAAGAAACAGCTTGTCTCAAAAAATATTGAAAGATGATATCCAAAAAATAATCTTAACGAAACGTGTCAGCTTTATCCACCCAAACTAGTATATCTTTTAGTATGGTCGCAAAAAATATCCTTTCTTTGGATTCTTTACTGACCACTTGCATGGAGTTTCAGATCTTATGTTCTACAAAAGCTGTCTACGATGGGATGACGTAAAAATCTCAAACAAAACTAGGAATGGCTACTATTCGAGCTTCGATTATACCATGATTTTAATTGAAAAGGAGAAAGTGAATTTCAAGTAGCAATTTTCTTGACATTGGGAAAGAGATGATAACAGCCTTTCAAGCGAGGCAAAAAAAGAGTTCGTCAAATATAGCTTAAGAAAATGTTCCTTTCTCTTGGACTTTACTCGTTTGCTCTGCCCTTCTCTATTGTATATTCTCATTAGCTTTTGGCGATAGGCAGTATGCAGCTCTGTTTTGATGCTCGAGAAGTAGATACTCTCTTTTGCTTTTTCCTATGATGATGCAAAATAATTCGTACTACATCGATCGGATAAATGGCTGGCTACAGTAAATTTTCTCCTGCAAAATTTTGATTCTGACTGTTAAGAGCTTTTTAGACACATTTTTGGTGTTGTCTACTCGATTGAGTATAGCAATCATTTGATGGATACTTCCAATCTAATTTTCTTGCAACTACGTGACGAAAGTCTTTCTCAACCCAAACTTGAGTGATCAGTTATTTCACTTTCTTGAAAAAGAAGCTTTAGTTATACTAATTACTTCTAATCGAGAAATTCGACAGCTAAGTGCTGAATTCTAAAACATCCTCATTCAGTGAGAATGAAATCTAGGCAGACGAAGTTTTATCTATCTTCTCGATTTTAGTGCAGAAATTCGAATATATCAAATAGCTAACCCGAATTTTGTTCCACAGGCCTTTAATGTTGTTCGTATCCAAGATGTTGCCACTATTGTCTACGCCAAAATACCACCGATCCAAGGTTTCAATGATGAAACGATCATTATCAACCATCGCTTCTTGATCGTTGCCTTCGTAGTAGGGATTCAGTGACAGACCTGTCCAGTCTCATTTTGGTGGCGGAGCAGAAGCGTTCTTTGTCTTGTAGTATCGTTGTTGAAAATAGTAGTTTGTTGCACAAATAAAGGCGCCAGGTGCCTCACATACGTGTAGACTTCGAAATGGCTCATTTTCTGAAAGATCTACATGTGCGAATAGATAACATACGGTGAACAACGTAATCTTCAGTGTATGTTATGAAAAATCTGTCATGTTTTCATGATGCATCTAAAACATCTGAGGATCTGATGCGATATTAGAAAAAGCTTTATCAAGAATACTTTGTATCTGCAATAAAACAATGTAGCCTCTCTATGCTCTGACTTTTCTGGTACATAGTTATTTCTTCAGTCAAGACCTACAGGAGAGGTTCATTCATATTTCTTGCATTTGCCCTTTTTCCCAAAAAAATCAAAAGCGCCTGTTTTTCGCAACATTATGAACCATCATCATTTTCTTGACTTATTTTTTTGCTACTGTCTTTGTCTTTAATGCATCAGAGATTGGCTGTCCAAAATTGATTGTTCTCAGTGATGTACAACTTATTCAAGAAAATAACCATTGCTATGGTTGTCCAGACAAATTTCAGTCGTAACTTAAAAAATGTTTTGTTCCCCGATTCCAATGTTGTATCTATTTTATAATCGATATCATATTTTTTGTGTTTTCGCGTTTCGAAATGCAGCATAGCTGATGAAATAAGAAGAGTTCAACCTTAAAAAGAAATAATTTGTACTGTTCTATACTGGGCACCAGTAAAGATTGAACCAATCATCTGAGAATTCTTCTCATTATAGAACGAGCACGATCTAATAATTGTATTTCTATGAAGTTTAAAAACTGAAGACTCGATATCACAGAATTAGATCATTGGTTCTCATTTATAATCAATGCGAACGTATGAATTCAGATCACAAAATAATTACTGATTGTCGACAAAAAAGTATCGATGCTATGACTTGCCGACAAAGAATATGCAATTGATATTCTATAAGCTGCTGAAAGGCAAGTAATTCTATGAAAATCATGTGTTTTGGAGTGAACCAGAAAATGCCAGGTCTTTTAAGATCATCCTCTTTTGATCATTTTTGAAAAAAAAACGATCCCAATTTGATGCAAAACTAACGGAGATAGGTTGACCATACTGAGAGCCTAAGCAGTTCTAGTACCTTTCGTCATATAGACAGATCATCGCGCACAAAATGTTGCAATGTTGTATAGTACAATATATTTGTGTATCCTGAACTAATCTTATCGAAAATAATGATGAAAATTGCAGAATAATAATCAGGAAACGCTATAGTTTGGATAAAAAGGTGCGTACACAACTGAAGAAGGATCGACACATTTACACAACTTATACAGTTTCTTATCAGAGAATCTCTTGCGTCGAAGTCTTTTAAACGTGCTGAAGGAACTAAAATTTTAATTCAAACCGTTGAATACTTTTCTCTTCTCTACGTAAATAAAACATAGTTTGAGACAAAATTTTATAGTATCGGTTTTTCTAAAACCAGTGCGGATTTTATAAATATATCAATCCTTTTTCAATTGTCTATTCAACGTTTTTCGAAACTTTAGTGTATCCTCATTATGTTCATTTGCTTTTCATCGTGATTTACTACAAGAATAGTTAGAGATACACAGATACATTATATTGTAAAACGTTGCAACATTTTGTTCTGCAACGAAAAGTCCTAGAGCCGTTTAGACTTCCATTATTTTCAATCTATGTGTTAGTTTTGAACCAAGTCGGAATAGTGTTTGTTTAGAATAATTATCAGGAAGAATACTCTATAAAGGTAATACTTTGCGGTTAACTCTGAAACACTTTTTATGGACACAGTTGTCTTAGGACAACATGACAAAACATGTGAGTGATATTTTTCGTTGTTCCTGCATGGACGTCTAAGACATCAATACTTAGAATTGGCGCAAAAGTCTCCACAAGATAGGCTAGGTCTCATTTCGTATAAACGGGTGATAGTCCAACATATTCTCCTGCAAGAAAATATCCATTCTCACACATAATGAAGTATGTTTTCAAATTATACAAATAAGTGAATAATTTCATTTTCAACATATATTTTAGTTTCATCTCTAACCTTTCTGAGCTCAGAAGTTCCAGTTCTTCTAATTCCACTTACCATTCGGAATGAGTCGCTCGTATTTCGAAAAGATTTCGGCCATTTTGATCCATGCATTCGTGCACATTTCAATATTGTAGTCTTTGCGTAAAGGCCAAACTACTTGTGATGTCATATTCGTCTTGCTGGTAAGTTGCTTCCATACAGTGATATCTTTTTCATTCAGACGATCACGAGTAGCATTGAGCCTTTTCTTTTGTTCCATCAATTCTTGGATTTCCCATCGATCGTTTACGAACAGATTTTCGGCCATTAATAATGAGTTGTCTTTCAGAGATGTGATCAATGGAAAAGTTTTCTTCTTTCGGAATAGCTCATCTTTCAGTTGATACACTAGTCGTTGCTCCTCATCATTCAGAGAAGAAACACGTGTTGAAACTGGGAAACGTCGATCTTGATTCCTGTTATTATTCGAGAATCGCGATTCGTTGTTGCGTTGATCTCGCCAGTGATCGTGATTTCCACCTCGACGATCATTATTCCAGCGTGAATACGACATTTTCTATGGTATATTTTCTACAAAACACAATTTCATATGAGTAAATAGGATTTATGTATAAAGTAATTAATGAATGCCTACTGGCTAAATAAGAGGAGCCAACTTTTTAAAAGAGAGAATGGTCAGAAAATTTGAAATCCGATATGTTAACCAGAAATATTTTTGATCTTAAAATTCAAAGTTTCTTTGAAGGTGTGTAAGTGATATATTTGAAAATTCTTAAATTAGCTCATCTCACACATAACTAAGTAATCTAGTTGTGTTGGTGCTAGCTACTACCTTTCGGTTCAATCGTGATATTTTTAGCTGTCCACAAGGCCAGCACTATATGAACAGTTTGATCGCAATCTCATCTGAAAATTTTTCGACAAAGAATATTAGAAGTATCTGTTCTCGGATATTAATGAATCCTATTCGAGTTGGAGACTATCCTAGCTAGCAGAAATCAAACTCAGATGAGTATAAAAATTAATAACCATTGCTTATCGATGGATAAGCAATTGTGTATTATTCTTGGTCGATAAATAATTGTGAAAGTTTTTTACTCATTGAAAGTATGATCTCCTTCACACGAAGGATTTCTCTCAACAGAACACTTACTTAGCCAACAGTGTAACGTATGCTTTATATTCAACCTGATGCACTGACATCATAATAGAAAGATGAAAAAAGGTAATACACGTACAGGAGTTTTTCTATTTGCCAGTGCAACTTGTTACTCACTACTAATAAAATGAAATTTTCTTTTTTTCTCTTTCTCTTCTGCAGCAACATCAAGCTTTGTTAACTCAGTAAATAGAGATAGACATTGCCAGCCAAGGTTGCCATCATTGCACCATGGTTGAGAAATGATGGTGTCACTCAAGAGAGAATCAAGAAATATAGAAAGAGAACAAGCATAAAACAAAGTTGCTGCAATCGTGTGAAAAAAAAACAAGCTGGAAAGATTTTTAAAAAAAGTGAAATAACAAGGAGAAAAACAAGTTATGAGCGAGAGATTTTTTCCATTACTGACGCACATACACATTTCCGTCACTTGTCTTTTGTGTTGATAATGTAATCATTCCATTTTTATTTTTCCAACTACGCAATAGAAAGAACTAAACTTATGACTGTCGGAAATTATCAGTGAAAGCTTAGAAAAGCTCGTCGATTCGGTGAAAAAAAGAAACGATGCGCCCATTGAGTCATTCATACGAGATTGTTTGTTTGCTAGGAACATAAATGAACATGTTGTTATTTTTTCTCATGAAAAGAGAGAAAAATAAAAAGATCAAAACATGATTGGTCGTCATTTTATCTTCTACTAGTTTCGTTCCTGTGCTCAGACAATAAAAGCATGTCTAGAAAAAGAGGTAATGGAAGAAGATTCAATAATAATTTTTCACGAAAGCCTAGCAATGGTGAAAGATCATCTGATGATCCTAATCTACAAGAATCGTTAAAATCTAACAGCTATAGAACATATACACCACTTGTAAGTTTCGCGCCTCCATCAGCCGAAGTCGATGACGAGTCGACTTATTATACTGTCAATCTTCAATTGAGTCCAGTTCAAATGGGTATTATGGCTAGAAATGATCATTGGCAACAACAATTCAAAGGATTAGGAGCATTTAATCACTATTTCGGTTTATTAACTACTACCGCCAATGGATATGAATTATGTGACGTATGGGACGGATACTTTCACCTCACGCTTGTGAAATTTCGGACATCTATTCCACCAGATGATCTTGAGTGCTTATTTCGTTCATTTACTTCACACGCATGTAGTCCTGCGATTCCTAATCTTCTTTTTCGAGGATCACAACTCGCTGTCCATCCCGGTACAACACGTAAAAAAGAGCGAAAAAAAATCGATTTCGTTGTTCTTTACATCGATCTCTCGCCTGAAATACAAGAATTTTATCAAGCTATCCAAGATCTACTTAACGATATTCGAAAACAAGCAAAAGCATCAAACTGGAATCTTATTCCAATCGACAAACTACATGTGACCATACGTAAATATTCTAATACTCAAATAGATATAAAAGCCATTCCGATCAAACATTTGCCAATTGAATTCCACTGTTCTCGTCTCGAAATTAAGCAAACACGCGAACAAGGACTGGCTCGATATGAAAAAGCCCGAAAAGAGGGCAACAACTATCAATGGTGGTCTGGTGTGACCGTAATCGATGGAACATGTTTAGGTTGCCGAAAATGGATTCTTTCTCAAGATTGGGCAGGCTTTTGTCTCCAATGTGGAAAGTACGAGTCAGTCAAACCGGTCTGGTCAACAGATGACATCAAAGATCATTTGG